ATTAAAAACACTACAACACCTTAGTTAAATGTAACTAATCCCCAGGAAATTGTCAGATCTGTGTTTGTTTTAAAAGTGATTATTTTCTGTTAATTGGTATTTTGCCCTAGATATTTGTTCATCTAACAGCAAGGCAAATGCATTTCTACATAATTTGGCCATGCTGACAGGGACAGTGTCTCATCTAGTTCAGAATCCTCAGCATGGTGTATGAGCACAGGGTAGGCACTCAAAACATTTTTTAAGTTAATTTATGCATTGTGGAAACACAGTGGCCATTATACACAGTGGTCTGACCGGCCTGGATGGGAGTCCCAGTTCCGTCACTAGCTATGTAGCCTTGGGCAAGTTATTTCACCTCTGAGACTGTTTCCTTATCTTTGAAATGTAGTGATGAGGGTGTAGGTATGTACACACACACATACACACACACTTACTCTAAAATAATACCTTACAACTGTTGGGATTCTTTTTTGAGGGAGGTGGGGGGGATCCTTACTCTTATTCTGTGTTAAATTTCATATCTACCTTTGGGATCTAAGACTGTGACAATCTGAGCATTATCTCTGAAAAATACCTTAAACTAAAAAAAAAAAAATTGCATTTTTTTTCCAACTCTATCCTTGATCACTCCTCATTCATGTCCTATCCCCACTGCCTTCTCCCTTTCTCTCCCTTTGCCTCAAAGAAAATTAATGAAGCCATATAGAAAGCTCCAAGATAGAAGTGACCTTGTGCATCTTTAATTGAGGACAGAATTTACTAAAAGTACGTCCAAAAACCCACCAGTGGTTTACTTTACAATCTGTGTCCTGGCTAGACTGGCTGTTGGCTGTATAATTTGTCTAGTTTTGTCTGGAGTCTGAGACTATTCAGCTGCTTCAGGGCAAAATCTTTTGGGGTGTCATTAAATGGGATTGATAATTGGCTTCTGATGAATATTCATTGTGACTAATGACTTTGGGCAAATTTTACACATACTATCTTTCTATTCTCCCATGGAGAGAGAGTTTGATAGGATCATTTTCCTCAACTTACACTTCAATTAAATATTCACAATACCCCTTTGTTGACTACAATCCAAATTGTATACTTTTATTACTTTTAGATTTTGTATTCTATAAGAAATGAGCATAGGCTTTTAGGATCCTTATTTTTAAAAATTGGGTTGGTTTTAGAGTTATTTTTCAAATAAGTGACCAATTTACAGGACATAACATATTATTTCTGATGAAGCATAGATACAGCATAACACTTTCCTTGTGGTCGACTTAGCCACTATTCCTAAGTAACCCTGCACGTTGTTTGTGCCATTTAGTATCTGGTAAAAGAGCTTAACAATTCCCTCTTTGTCTGTCTTCTTAATCAAATGGGTAAATGCATTTTACTCCAATTGCAGAGACTTGGCCCTCAGAAAACCCCCAATGAAAATGATGATCAAACACCTTAAAAAAATTTTTTTTGATAAGATGATTTCTATTAAAGATTTGATAGAGGTGAAGAAGTTAGCAGAAGAGCTTCTGTAGGTAGAGGGAACAGCCAGTGCAAGGTTCCTGCAGAGGAGGCCCGATTGGCATGTTCAATACAGCAACAGGGGCTGTGGAGACCGAAATCATTTCATTGTTTTGCAGTGTAATATTAGTAAATCATTTTTTGTGAGTATTCATCCATGTTTCCTGACTTCATAACCACTCAGCATTTTGGAGGTAGAGCTAACAGTGTTTCCTAATGCATTGGATGCAGGGTAAAAGCATATATATTCTTAGGCTCCAAGGGGCAGCTAGACAGAGGTAGGAATGACATCCTCATAGGAGACTTGAGAGCCTGATGAGCACGAGTGCCTGAACTTGAAGCCTGAACTCTTCAGCCCAGAGGTGAACTAAGGTAGCTCCTGTGGAGAGAGCTGAGAGTCTCCTTTAAATTTCAGGTTCCCCTCTAGCACATAAATCAAAGAAAATTTGGAGCCTGCAAGTTCTATGACATAAAGCACAGTCAAATTATTTTATCCAGAAAAATATTAAAAGTAAAAGTTTGTTTTTTATGAGGGGTAAGACATTTTAACATCTTTGCTTTCGGCTTGGTGGGTTTTTTTGTTTTTGTTTTTTATTTTTGAGGTTAAGGAGACATGAAAAGAACATTGTCTGAAGATAAGATCTTTGCCACTTTGTCACTTGAAAAAGAATTTAGACTCAAACTAATTTAAACTAAAAAACTAGTAATCAAGTTCTGTTTCAACCAGGAACGTTCTGTTGAATAACTTTTTCAAACAGAATCACAAATGAATTTATGTGATGATACCTTACATTTGTATGGCACCTTATAGATTTTAAAGTGCTTTTATTTATTTGATGTGTTGTACAGTTATAGAGTGGGCATATCATTGAATGAATGGATGAATGAATCCATTGACTTAATTTTCCAAGAAGTGGCATATTTTATGTCTAAGCTTGCTGTTAATTGTTTGGGAATTTGAGTCATATACCCTACTCTGTGAGACTCATGAAAATATTGGTCTGGTCCAATACTGTTAAAAGCCAAGCCACTATCTTTATATTATGACTATCTTCTAAGTAGAACTATTTTTTATTCAAGAAAGATTGTATTAGCTAGCACTTATATATGCTATACCACCAAGAACATGGAGAGGAAAAGAAAGACAGGTCTTTCTGTACTTTATAATGAGAGGACAAACACAGACAGTTATAGCCCCATTGATAATGGGGTGTTCGCCCCAGAGAGCCATGCAAGGGAGGCAGCCCTGGTGCAGAGACCTGAGAAAGAGGAGTTTGCTCTGGGCACAAATCCGGCTAGTCTAGGGGACATGTGGAGAGCGAGGGAGAAGGAAGAGGAGTACATAGCTCCTAAGTCTTTGAATGCTGTACTCCAAGGATAAACTTGGAGGAGGCAGTAGAGACTGTGGTCGAGGTGCTGCTCTATGGGAGACTGGGGACTGGTGGAGACGTGCCTGTTCAGGAGTGCCCCCAGGGACTTCTGAGGAGGACGTTACATGACCAGACCTGCACTTGAGTAAGAGTACTTTGGCAGCTCAAGGATGGGCAGAAGGAGCTGGGGCCCAAGGCCAGTGTCACCCCCAGCCTGACCTCAGGGTGGAGTCAGAGTAAAGTTGGTTCATTTTCCACTCATTCATCACCAGCAAAGATTTCTCATCTCTTCTAAACCTGAAGAGATGAGTCATGTATAATATGACAGACAACCTCCTTTATATGGAAACGTATTAAAATGGGCTGAGAGGGATGGATTAAACCAACAAGCCTTGGCAGTGTCACCGGGAACAGCTCTCGAGAGCTTGCTGGATAGGCTCCTATTCATGACATGTCCTTGATTTAAAGAACAGGGTCTGGAGGGAAAAGGGGTATGGGGAGTAGCAGCCCTGGATTTAATACACAGCTCACACTGTGAAACATCAGCAGAATATCCCATTTAAATCTGTTCATGTTACACTAACCTCTGGGATTCTTTTAACTGGGCCTTGGCACGTCACTCGTTCACCATGTCCATGTACTTCTGTCAGCAAAGAACAGTTAACAGCTTCCAAAAGAAGCAAAGTTCTCCTGGGAACAGGCTTCCCAGAAACCAAAGAAGCAAGACAGAGAGAAGCATGTGTAGTTGGCTTTTGTCACTTCATAGACGTATCTCCCAAGGTGTTGTTTTTTTCCTTCTTCACTATTGAATTTTGTAATGATTTTATTCCATTATATCCTCGTTTCTGAAATTTAATTATATCAAATACTGATTGTCTGGTGTGTCCAGCTCTTAAGAGAAAAAGGAATATGAAACAGGCATGTCGAAAGCATAAGGAGGGAAGGATTTGTCAGTTAACAGTGCTGGGCAATTGATTATGTGGAAAAAATTAATTCTCACCCTAGTCCTTAAACCCAAATTCATTTCAGATGGATTAAAGTTAAATGCTAGGGAAAGATTTGGGGGACTTTCTTAGTATAAAAGCAGTGGAAACCATCATGAAGCAAAAGATTTGTCCGTGTAAATACTTAAACCTTCTCTTCACCCAAAAAATTCAAAGAAAATTAAATAAGGATGAAGTATTTTTTCCAAAACAGGATTAGTAGTGCCCTTTGCATATCTACTGCTTGCTTGTAAGTCAATTTTTAAAAATACTAATACTCATTAGAAAAAGTGGCCTAAGAATAGGAAACAGACCATTTATCTAAAAAAATATAACCAGGAAACATATGACAAGATGTTCAGCCTTAGTCATGATCAGAGGAGTAAAAATAAAGTCAAGATAGACAGATTTTAGAGTGAACTCGACTGCACTTCTTAGTGCTGGTGAGATGGAAGGGGACAGGGTAGTATGTGTAGAGAGCCTCCATCCCTCATCTATTTAGTATCTGAATGCATTTGTTATGTTTATATTGTTATAGTTATTAAGTGCTCTAAAATATTTATAACTTTTGCCCCTGAATTCTATATCCAGAAACCAGATATAAAAATTATTGACCTGATCTCATTATATAACTTAATGGTAGAAGAGTGTGTTAAATACAGTATGGGAAATTTATTGAGTGGCATTAAAAGATATGTTTTCTAAGAATATTTAAAGATATGGGGGAATGCCAACAAATAATGTTAACTTGAAGAAAAAAGAGCATACTTGCAAAAAATGAAAAAAGAGCAAATGAGCACTGTAGTTACAATAATTTTATTAGAAAAGGAAATATAAGTGTATGTACTACCCCAAAATGTTAAATTGTTTTCAGATGGTGAAGACTTGTTTTCTTTTATCCCTTTTTCCATTTTCTAAATTTTCTACTGTCCTTGTGCATTAGCTTCATAATTGGGGGAAAAAATTGATTGTTTTTCGAAAAGCAGGCTCTTATTAAATTTGACTTAGGGTAATTGCGTTAATTTATTTTAAATACATTGAGAAGTATGTATTTAATTTTATTGCTGCACTCCAATAGGAGGGTGTCTCCGCACATTGATTGTGAGCTCTGAACCTCTGATTGCTTCTCTTGCAGCTGACGGCCTGCATCCACGGCTCTGCCGCCATGCTCTACCCCATGTTCTGGCAGCACGTGTACATCCCTGTCCTGCCGCCGCACCTGCTGGACTACTGCTGGTAAGGCCGCTGCTCAGCCTGCCTCTGCTTCCCTCCTCCAGGAACTGACAAGGAATGTTAGGTCTGTCACTCTAATACAGTTGGTGACTCTCAGTGAAAAATATTAACTTCAAAAATGACATGAGTTTTAGACCTCATGACTGCATGGCCCTTTTGTTTCCGAACAGCTTTCATAGATGTCATGGCATTCTTAAGAGTTCAAGTGAGTAGGTAATACTTTTCCCATTTCTCAGTTTGGGAAACCGAAGCATCAAGTAGTTGTGTGGTTTTTATTTTTTTTTTCCCCTAAGACAAACTGGAAAATGATGACAAGAACAATTGAGATCCCCAAGGGGTCCAAGTTTCAGCCATGTCCTGGCACCTTCTGTAAGACTTGCTCTCAACTGTGGCTCGGGAGCACGAGCCAGACTTCAACCCCTCTGACATTTTTGGTAGACGTTTCACTGTTCTGTGAACTGTATCTTAGTGGGAGGGAGGAGGCAGGCTTTGGAGTCAGCTCTGTCACCTTGGGCAAGTCACTTGACTTAGGACTTTATTTCTTCATCTGCAAAATGAGGTTCTATACATAATTATTTGAAGATGAAATGATACAACGGATGAAAAGACACCATGTAGAGAAGCTGGCTCATGGTGGGTGCTCAGGAGTGTTTCTGCAGGAGCCTTTCATCATCACTATCTGTCTTCTGATTTGGATTCATTTTCTTCTGAACAGTTTCTTTCTCAAGTGTGCTGTGGTTAAAGACATTGTCTCCAGACAGCTCAAGTCAGCAGAAGCTGATGGGGAGAACTATGCATGTGTAGAAGGCACCGTCTGCCAGAAATGGACAGCTTCCAGGAAAGGGACTCATTTGAGGGGTTACCATGGGTTCGTCATACTTTTTCCTGGGTTCTCTACTCTGTTTTGTAACCCTGCTACTGAAAAGGTTCACCAAGGCAGCCAAATTGCCTTGGAAGCTTAAAGGTGTTCCACGGTACTCCAGATTTGGATGTTGGGCTCACTCTCATCCCAAGAAGCCACAGGTACAACAAAGATGTATGTAGCTCAGGGCTGTCGGGTGAAACTCAGCGACCTTCTCCTTTGCCTAGCTCTAAGTGAATTGGCTCATCTCCCTACTGGGTATCTTCTTATCAAGGCAGCTCTTTTTATCCATGCCTTTCTCCCACCTCTTACAAGCTTAAGGGGCTGTTCCTCTGCTTAGACTGGGTGCTCCTTCTGAGCTTCTGAACCAGCTCTCAGTTCTTTCCACTGCCATGTAGCTCAAAGGAAAAGGCCCCTGTTTGCTAGCCAGTAGTAGTGGTGGTGTTTGAATGCAATATTGAGAGGCTGGGCAGATGCAGACAGGGGAAGAAGGAGGCCAGAGGAGCAGGGAAGAAGAGAGAACAAAATGTACACCCAAGGAAGGTGGAGGGGAGATGGTGAGAAAAATAGAAAAGTTAGAAAGGAGGCATATGTCTCCTAAGACAGGCTCACGCAGTGGCACCCAGTCTTCTTGCCACCACGCCCCATACAGCACCCTCACAGGCACATACCTTCACACAGACACACGGCCCCCATACTCACACAGACATAGGTCCCTTCCCCACAGGTACATGTCTCAGGGGCTGCCATACTGAGGGTGACTCATACCCCCTACACACCTCACCCAGACATGTGCTCTAAGGAGAAACCTTAGGTTTTTCCCTGGAAGAGACCCATCTGTGTGTCCTCGTGCTGTGGTTTAGAGAGGAACACCCAGAGGTTTTTGTGTGCAGGGTTGGTAGTATACAACTTTAGCTTTCTGTTATTTGGAAAGTTGTGGTTGCGAAATTGTTAGCTAGTTTAAACCAGCAGCTTACATTCCCAACACTGTGAAGAGGAAGATGCTCTGTCAGGAACATCAGTATCACAGAAGCTGCCAGTGTTGAATGTCTCCTATACCCCAGTCACTGGACCATCTCCTTTGCATCGGATATCTCTTTCAGTTCTTCCAGAAACTGTATAAGGCGGGTATTATTGGCTCCATTTCACAGACTGGTAAACTAAGGCCACAACATTTAGTAACTTGCCCCAATATAGGTATTATATACTGTATGATTCCATTTTTGTAAGAACAAACAAAATTGTGTGTGTGTATAACACAAAAATTAAATGTGTGTGCACATACACATACAAGGGCAGAAATCTAGAAGGAAATACACCAAAATGTTAACAGTGATTTGTGATGGGGATGAGGGAGAGGGATTCTGCATGATTTTTATTTTATTTTTTATATTTTCAGATATTTCAGTGAAGAAAGGTGATTTTTATAATTGAAAATGTTTACTTAAAATAAAAAAAATCAGTGTTAATTCTAGCCAGTTCCTTCCAGCTACCTTCTGGGTCCCCACATTCCTTTCTTATTTGCTTAGAGGATTTATTAGTTGTTTGATTTTTTTCCCCTGTGGAAGCTGATCTGAGATACTCTTTTCAATTCGATGTATAACTCTAGCACTGTCCAGAGCTGTGTCACCAGCCTGATCGGGAGCAATGATCCTGACAAGTCTAACTTGGAAGGAAAGGCTTGTCAAGAAAGCTGCTAAGCCCTGTCACCCCAAACTTCCACTCCAAAAAAAAAAAATCAAAGTTAAGGCTTGAATGTGTCTCAGCCCGAGTGAGTTTTGTGATTAGGTTCTATCTTGGAAGTTTCTGTTTGTGTGATAGTGTTTCTTTCCTGGCCCCTTATTTTCTAAAGAACTTTTTGACAGTTGACCAAAGGATGATTACAGGCCAGTGGGGATTGGTATCTGTTGATTAACTGCAAGATGTAAGAATGATAAAATAAAAGACCCCAAGAGAAAAAAGATCCTCCATTCAAGGCTTGATTTGATCACCTTCAGCCTGCTACAAATGCTTTGGTCAGAAACTACAAATGTCATGAAATTTGAGTCAATGCTAATAACTTGATTCTATTGTGCTCAATGACTTTCACCACATTGAGTTTAATCCTTGGTAGTAAGAGCCAGCAGGGATAACTAGCATTTTAAGTAAAGTGCTAGGAGCCTGAAACATGTAAATTTGAAGGAGGTTTGTTCCTCTGCAGATGATTTAAATGTTAAGTATGTCCCCATGCAGGGGATACACGAAATGGAATCTGAAAACTATTATCTCCTGTAGAAATGAACTCTCAATTTACTCACTGCACAGGAAGGGCAGATTCTAGTCATTTTCACTGCCAGCAGGTGCCCTTTCTATGCATAATAGACTTCGCAAGTGTAATTAACACATGAGGACCACTGCTGCCAGTTTTTCTTCAGGTACATGCTGCTAGGAGTTTTCAGGACAACAGTGTAGTGTAGGCTGCAAGAGCTTTTTACAGTGCACTTGAAGATGAGGTGTTCATTGACTTTAGGACAAAGACATGTTAAATGGGGCTGAGCCCAACCCTGCTGTTGGTATCATAGGTCATGGTCCTTGAGCTCCGAGACCCCAAGAGCTGTCATGCAGTCCTTGGTAGAACAGAGGCCAGTAGAGCAAAGCTCTAGGATGCAGTGAATAACTGGAAAGTATGATGCTGAAAACCCTAGTTATATGGAGGACTCTAATTGCACATTCACAAATACAACAACCGATTATCTGAGTTAACGTTAATTAGAGCTATAATCATGGATTTTAATGATCTGAATAAATTGGTTTAGCACAAATGGTCTGCCCTAAATATATCCCAACTTAATTTTTTTAAGTTCCTTCCCATTTTATCATTATTATTATTATTGTTACAGGTGTTTCTCCTTTTTTACCCCATTGACACCCTCCTCCCCATCCCCCCAACCACGTCCCCAGCTTTGTTGTCCATGTCCATCGGTTATGCGTACATACATATAATTTCTGTGGTTCATCTCTTCCCTCCCCGCTTCAACCCCTCTTCTGAGGGTTGTCAGTCTGTACCCTACTTCCACGTCTCTGGGTCTACCCTATTCCTCAGACTGTTACGTTCACTATATTCCACAAATAAGTGAGATTATGTGGTATTAGTCTTTTTCTGCTTGGCGTGTTTCGCTTAGATTAGTACTTTCCAGGTCCCTCCATGTCATCTCAAAGGATAAGAGATCTTTCTTTCTTACAGCTGCATAGTACTCCATTGTGTATATGTACCACAGCTTTCTTATCCATTCATCTACTGATGGACACTTTGGCTGTTTCCAGATCATAGCTATTGTAATTAATGCTGCTATGAACATGGGGGTACATACATTCTTTCTGATAGGTGTTTCAGGCTTCTTCAGGTATATTCCTAGAAGTGGATCACTGGATCAAATGGCAGTTCAATTTTTAATTTTTTGAGGTAACATCGAAGTGTTTTCCATAGTGGCTGCACCAGTCTGCATTCCTACCAGCAGTGCACTAGAGTCCCCTTTTCTCCACACCCTCGCCAACACTTGTTGTTTGAGGATTTGTTGATGGTGGCCATTCTGACAGGTGTGAGATGATACCTCATTGTTGTTTTAATTTTCATCTCTCTGATGATTAGTGATGTTAAGCATTTCTTCATATGTCTCTTGGCCATTTGTATGTCCTGTTTAGAGAGGTGTCTATTTAAGTCCTCTGCCCATTTTTTAATTGGGTTCTTTGTCTTCCCTTTGTTGAGTTGTATGAGTACTCTATATATTTTGGAAATTAACCCTTTATCTGATGTATCATTGGCAACGATGCTCTCCCATACAGTGGGTTGCCTTTCCATTTTGATGGTTGTTTCTTTTGCTGTGCAGAAGCTTTTCAGTTTGATATAGTCCCATGTGTTCATTTTTGCCTTGTTTCTGTTGCCTTAGGTGATGTGTCAGTGAAAATTCTGCCGCGCATGATGTCCGAAATTTTGGTACCTACATTTTCTTCCAAGATTTTTATGGATTCATGGGTCACATTTAACTCTTTAATCCATTTTGAGTTTATTTTTGTGTATGGTGTAAGTTGATGGTTTGGTTTCATTTTTTTTGCATGTAGCTGTCCAATTTTCCCAACACCATTTATTAAAGAGGCTGTCTTT